ATCCTGTTGTCTACCTTTGTTGGCTCCAGGAAAACCCCATCAAGGATGGATAATAGGGATAAGGTACTGTCCAACTCTGTGTCCCTAATGTCTCTTCTCAAACCCAAGTTCCACCTAAACCCAGAGGTTGAGTTAGATGGTACAAGGAAAGTAGAAACCGGTTCATTCTTAAAGGTAAAGATAACAAAAATAGCCGGAAACATATTTGTCAAGGCGACGCCTAGGCGGGCGCCTGGGCGACAAGGCGCCCTTGGAGGCTCGCCTCGTCCAATCGCCTAGCAGTTTTGTACACCGGGTTATAAAATACTTTTAGATTTTTTATTTTTTGACATTATAATTATAAAATAGATATTATTAAACTACAATATTCATTTTATGTGTTTATTTACTAATTTCCTTTTATTATTTTCTTATTTTGTTAGGGTTTAATCAATGCAAACATTGCTAACTACTGCATTGAACCCATGGTTCACAGTATCAATACACCTCTATGTATTGGCAGAGGTGTATCGGTATTTATAACGATACTCTCCCTATTTTTTTATTTCTTTGGTTTTCAATTTCATGTTTAAATATATATATATATATATGTTATTTAAAAAAATGGGTCCCCAAAAACACCTGTAAACAGGTATCGGGACCCCAAGATACAATATAATACACCCGATACGGGGCATAGCGTATCGAAATTTTGATCCTTGATTGAACCCTCAAAAATTTCAAAACCAGAACCTATAAGCAAGGGAAGAACTTAAAATTTTGTCTAATCAACACATTTTCTTCTTCCACGTCTTCTTCTTCTTCCACCTTTTCTTTTCTTCTTTCCTATAACAAAAGTAGGGGTTCAGCCCCTATATTTTTTGAAACATGAAATTTATAGAAACATGAAATTTATACTTTTCTTATGAAAACTATGAATAATTATTAAGGAAAGATGGTTATGGAACCTAGGGAACTACCCTAGGATCTAGGGTTTTACTTAAAAAAATCCATTGCCTAGGCGACATGGCGCCCCCTGTCGCCTAGCCTCGCCTTGGCGCCTTGAAAACTATGGCCGGAAATTGGTCTTTTAAAGGATAATCCCCAACCAACTTGTTCCCAAAATTTAATGAGGTGGCCTGAGTGCAAATCAAACCTGATCCAAGGAGAAAGCAAAGGCAAAATAGCTTGGATTGCTTTCCACGAAGATGCCTTTGTAGTCCTTGGCCCTTGCCAGAATGATTACTCCTACAAACCACCTCCCACCCAACCCTATGGTCCTTTTTATCCTCCTCTGGCTCCCAAAGGAAATCTCTCGTCAATTCTTCCTACTTACTAGCCACCCCTACCAGGATTTTAAAAATCAATAAAAAGTAAACAGACAAGTTAGCTAAGGCATACCTAATTAGGGTGATTCTCCCTCCAAGAGAGAGGATTTTTCTTCCACAAAACAAGTCTCTTCTCAAACCTCTCTGCAACTGGATTCCAGACCCCCCCCCCTCTATAGATCATCTCCCAAAGGCAAACCAATGTAATTTAGAGGCCAATTAGACACTGCACACTCCAAAATATCAACACACACCATTACCTCCCCCTCCCCCAAATTTACCCCTAGGTAGCTTTGCTCAAAAAAGTTGTATAGTGAGTTTCAAGTTCTTAATCCAATAGAGATCCCCTCCTTCACAAAAAAATATTGTATCATCTGCAAACTACAAGTAAGTGGTATGTGCTCCCCACCCAACTCTTCACCCCCTAATTAAATTCTTGGAATTTGCTCTAGAGATTAGTCTCCCCAACACTTCTAAAACCAAGGTAAACAAAAAGGGAGAAAGGGGGTCTCCTCGTCTGATTCCTTTCAATAACGAGAAGAAATCCACCATTGTCCCATTCACCGAAATAGAGTAATGGCAAGTCCTAATGCCTCCCATCACCCACCTGCACCATTTGTCCCCAAACCCAAAGTTGATCATCACCTCCAACAGGAAGGATCAATCTACCAAATCATAGGCCTTTTCCAAATCCAATTTGCAAACCACCCTTTTTTCCTTTGATCTCTTGAAATCCTCGACACTCTCATTCGCTATAAGTATTTGATCTGTTAGTTGCCTCCCCCTCACAAAGGCTCCTTGGTTATTTGCTACGATGGTAGGAAGCACCTATCTAATCCTAATGGACAACAACTTTGCAATAATCTTGTACAGACTAATTACTAAATTGATTGGTCTATGGTCCCTCAGATGGTTTGATTCTTTTTTCCTTGGGAGCCAAGGCTATGAAAGTGGAATTCAAACCTAGGTTAATCACTCCTCTGTTATGAAATTCATCAATCACCATCATTAGATCCTCTTTCAATATCTACTAGCAGTACTGATAAAATGCCATTGTAAAGACATTTGTGCTTGGTTTTAAACAAAAAAAAAAGGCATCTGGGCTTGGTGCCTTTGACCTATCTATAAAGAACACAAACCACCTCTTCCATGTCAATTTTCCTCTTCAACCACTCCCTATCCTCTAAACTCAAGAATGGCCAATCCAACCCCTCAAGCCACACCCTATTATTTATGGGTCTTCCAAAAATAGATCTAAAATGATCCGCAAAGGCTCCAACAATCTCACTTTGATTGGATAGTGTTACCCCTTCAATTTCCAAGCTTGAGAAGAAATTTTTCCTCCTTCCATTTGCCACAAGATGAAAGAATTTAGTATTCCTATCCCCCTCTTTCAACCACTTACATCCTATTTTGCCTCTAACTTATTTCCTCCTTGAGCAAATAATCCTCTAATTGTTTCAGCAGCCTCCATCTTTGTTCCTTATCCTCTTCTATAAGGCATCACCTCCCTTCCTTTAAATCTAGATCTTCAATTTGTGCAGTCACAAATTGCTTCCTTGCCTCCAACCTCCCAAACTCTAGAAGATTCCACTCCTTAATTCAATCTTTTAGATATTGGAGCTTCTTGTGGAACCTCATTCCACTCCAGTCAATTGTAGTATTACTCTCTAGCCACCATTCTTTAACTTTCCTAATAAATATAGGGTGGCCTAACCACATGTTTTCAAACTTGAATGGAGCAGGTCCTGCATTTTCCAACTCTTCCTTATAGATCACAATAGGCCAATGATCAAAGGTCGCCCTTGGAAGGACTCTATATATCAAGCTCCCCTAATGCTCTTCCCAATCATTGGAAAAGAGAAATCTGTCCAGCTTAGAGCATATAGGATTCACTTGGAAATTGGACCATGTAAGGTTGTTATGTGATAATGGGATCTCTTTAAGTTCAAAGGCATCCACAAATTAATTAAATTTTCTCATGCTTGTAGTCACCCTTTGCCTAGGATTATTTGTTTCTTCTGAAAGCCTAATTACATTAAAATCCCCTCTATACACCATGATCCTTCCAACAGCCCCCTGATTACAAAAAAGTTATGTTTCTTAGCCTAATATTTCCTATTCCTAGGCCTCCTTCATCCCTACTTCTAGAAACCACCTCCACTTCACTAGGTGGTCTTTTTGGTGTCTCCTAGTTCCCAAAGGAAGTCCCTCATAATCTACTCTAACCGGTTTACCACTTTCACCAATACCCTAAATGTAGATAGGAAATACACAGGTAGGTTAGCCAAAGCTAACTTTATTAGGGTTATCCTACCTCCCAAAGAAATGTAGTTTCTCTTCCAATTTGCAAGTCTCTTTGCAAATCTCTCAATCACTGGATACCAAAAACTATTTGTATCTAGATTTCCTCCCAATGGTAGTCCCAAATATTGCAATGGCCAGTCCCCTACATCACACCCCAACAGTCCAGCTAGCAGATTCACCTCTTCACTCCTAAATTTACTCCTGCCACACAGCTCTTGCCCCAATAACAGGGAAAACTTGTTCTGGACTCAGTTGCGATTTCTATTTTTGAACTTTTAGCTTCTTTGTAATTTGTTGGGGAGGCTGCAGCTAGCACCTCTCCAAGGGTTGTTATATGAGTTCCTAGTTTCAAATCAGTGCCTAGCTAAATAAAATTATTGTTATTCATCAAAAGAAAAAACTAAACACCTTAAATCTGCCCTTGAAACAATCCTGCTTAGAACATCTGCAATAAGAGTAAACAAAAAGGGAGAAAGGGGGTCTGCTTGGCTAATCCCACGCCTGGCAAGGAAAAACTCCACCACTCTACCATCTACCAAAATCAAGTAATGACGAGTCCTCAAGCAGCCCCAGATCCATTTACACCATCTATCACCAAAACCACAATGCCTCAAAATTTCAATTAGAAATGTCCAATCAACCAAATTATAGGCTTTTTTCTAGATCCAATTTACAAATCAAACCTTTTTTCTTTGTTCTCTTTAATTCCTCAACACATTCATTAACAATCAAAATCTAATCCATAATGTCTATTCTGCACAAAAGCCCTATTGTGGTGTTGTTTTTYGAGGAAGGATGTTGTTTCTCATGGCGTTTTGAAGTGGTTTTTCTTGTGCTGTCTTTGAGGCTAAGTTTTTTTTTTTTTTTGAGGTATTTGGTTTTTGGTTGTTGTGGGTTGTACTATTTTTCAGTGGTCATTTTGAGCTTTTGGGTTTTGTTGTTTTTGTCGAGGTTTAGTTGGTTTGGTTTCTTGTTTGAGATTTGGAGTTTTGTTTTTTCTTCTCTCTCTCAAGTGACTTCTGGTCACTCTCCTTTGTAATTTATTTTTCCGTTTTAATAAATTGTATTTTTAAAACAATTACGATTTTCAGAGCATTGGAATCCACAGAAGGAACTAATCATTTAAAACCTGCTGATTAAATGGGAAGCAAATATTGTTTCAATTTCCATCACAAAACAGTAACACAGCCTGGAAGTCTGAATTCAGGATAACCAGCATATGTGGTGCCATGTAAAATTCAAATTCTTCATCTTCTTAGTGTAAATTCTCTGCCCAACACCTTGCCCACTCCCATGAAATATAGGTTTGCAATATCAGAATGAACTGTATCAAGAAAAAGAAATACACAGAACTAGTTGTCATGTGAAGAAAAATAGAAGCTTTACCTTTTGATTTTTATCATCTGTGTCCACATCAGTTGAGGTATCAGTCCTAGGACTGGCATCTGCCATACTTGACTCGCCCCAGTTCTCAAAATGACCAGTTGATACAGAAACCAGATTAGGTTGTCCTTTTTGTGAAGCCAATCTTTGAGCTCCAACTCTAGCAGTGGATGGAGCTATTTCAGAGGAAATGAGGGACTATGTCCCAGAAAAAGATCAATCAGAACAAGAAAAGGCTATGTATTAAAGAAATAACAACACGAACAGCAGGCAAAGTGCTTATGAAATTTTCTGAATCTCAAACACATAAGCTTGAAGCTCAAGCAGCTATTCACCTTATTAAAGGTACCAAACTGCAAAGGATCTGAAGCAACAGTCTGTCCACTTGATTTGGTTGTATTGAATATAGAATCTTCAACAAGAAATGCATCAGAGAATTGAATCAAATTAGAAAATCATTTGACATTACAAATGCAACTATCATAAGTTCATAACAACCCTGAAACAAACACTACTTGAATTCAAACAGAAAGCACACAAATTTTACATACTATACATATAACTAAAAAAGCAATGCTCGCTAAAAGAATTACCATGTAGTATACACTATATATGAATATATCATATGCACACATGTGTAAATACACATAAATTTCACAAATTATCTTGTCAACAAAATGACAATACTCATAGAAAGAAATATTATGTGAAAACAAGAAAGAGAGGGGGATCCAATGACACATGCTTCTCCACATTCACGAGAGAGAGAGAGAGAGAGAAGAAACCAAAAAAAAAAAGAACAAAACAGTGCTTTCATAAAAACATTAATCAGGACCAGAGGAAATAATATAACAAATGATGCTTCATGAATACTAGAGACAACACCTTACTAATTAACATGGCAAGGGAAATGCGTGCATTCAAAGTTAATATATTACATGGAGAAAGGGTATCAAATACCTACTTCTACTAAGGTCAACAGCATCATCTATGCGATATCCAACAGATTGTTCAACTGCCCCAAAGTCAGATACTCGAGAATTATGGATATGGTTTCCTTCTGTGCCACTGGAAGAAATGGATTACCAAAATCCATCAGTTAATAAGAATACAATCCCGAAAGAGAGGGAGGAAGAGCAGTTAACTCTACATTATATTCTTAGGATGGTAGAACCCAAGAGGTTCAAAGGATGCCCCCCATCCAAAAGAAAAGAAAAGAAAAGAAAAGAAAAGATGGAAAGCACATTAACAAAAACAACTTATTAAGTAATGTTCACTAAGCATGACCGAGCTCAAAGCTATTAGTGCCCAAAGTGCAAGAAAGAAATATATGACAATTTTATCTTGAGATACTTCTATCAACTATAGAAGAAACAATATAGGGTATCCAGTATCCCCAAAGTATTTTACTACATGCAAGTAGTGCTTAGGGTATTTTGGTGACTTAATTGTGATTACGACTGCACAATTCATCCACTGCAAATAACCATAAGAGCCTTCAGTCACAATTTATCACTGACCCAAGATCTTTTCACTGAAGATAGAGTATATTGATTTCAGAGTTTGTGCCAAGGAGAGCAGCATTCTTGCACACTCAAGACATCTAACATTGGCATCATCAAAATTTTGGCAACTAATCAGCTCGGGATCATTAGAATAAACTTATTTCCATGTCAACCAGATTAATATGTTCATCTTATTCAGCATATCTTGTTACTAAGAATATAGGCTTCATTAATTTGCAATTAGCACCAAATAGGGCAGTAATAAAAACACTGTCCATTGACATCACTAAAATTTTTGCTACCATCCATATGGTATCATGAGTAATAAGCTCAATTCCACCACGTCCATATTATACAATGCATTAATTTCACAGTTAGCACTACCCAGAGTAATATTCTTTTCCCAAGAATTTTCCAATGGAACCATCTAATTTCTTTCTAATTATTACAAGTATGATTATGGGGAATAAACCCTTTTTCACTTCAACCAAACCATATTCCTGCTTTTTTCTGATTTACGTGGTTAGAATCACATATTTTCCAAATGAAGTTCTGTTTAACAATACACCTCGTATCAAATAAGCATTAACGAGGTAATTCAATATAGCCGTGCGATTATTGTCAAGAATATAACCTCGCCCAGTTCATGAATTTCAGGCCGATCTCTGAACTCGGTTCCAGGCCATAAATTTCAAGGTGTACAAAAAGTCACATCAAAGCTATACAAGTGATAAAAACATGCAGAAAAATATAAATCTCCCTCCTGTTAAAACAAAATCCGAGAAACAGTGATTCTAATGAATTCAAACATAGATATGAAAAATCAAGCAAGAATAAAACGTAGAAGGCCTAATTATTCCACTAGAGAATCCACTAAAAGTAGAAAAAAGCACAATATTGGCAAATTGCGGCCGACAGATAGAGATAGTAAGGAGTCAAAGAAAAGGATAAAAATGAGGTAGACTGAAAAAATTACAGTGCATGAGAAACGGGTAATGGAGGAACGAAGCTCGGCATCCCGCTCGCCGCTTCCTTATCATCTTCAGCACCAGCCCTCACTGTTCTACTCCCCATACATCACCATCGTCACCACCACCTTAATGCCCCAAAAACTTTAAAAAAAAATCCACGAATACCTTAAACCCAACCAACTCAGTGCACAAAAACAACCCTAGAATCCCAAAACTGCACCTTTCAACGTACAACGATCACGCTTAAACCCTGCACTATACAAACAATCACAAAAACCAACATTGGGTTCGACTATGATATGGAAAAGATATGATATCCGAAAAAAAGTAGTCACCCAATTAATTATCCGCAAATTACAATTAAAAAAGAAGCAAAAACCCTAACCTTCCCAGAGAAGCAAACCAGCAAAACACGATAACCGTACGTACAACCTACAAAACAAATAAAAACCTAAAAGCCCTAAAATTCAAAACCAAATCGGACAAAAAAGCCAGCAATAGTTCAAGCCACTGTCACCGAAAGACAATAAACAAAACCCCTCCACGTAACACAAAGCCTAGCTGATCAACATGAGCGTCATCACCGCCGACAACATCGATCACCCTTCAAGATTCGAATTTCACGCCAATCCAATCTATACCCAGATGCCAGAATCCACGAACAACACTTCGGAAACCCTAATCTTCCAACCGTTTTGAAGATCAAAATCGCATCCTTTTGACTTCCTCTAACCAATGAATTTCCTACGTGCTTCAATCAATCTCTACTTGGTTCTCATTCTATCCCTATCGCCATATACTTCGATTGGAGAGAGAGAGAGGGATGGGGTGACGTTTGGATCATTCCAATCTCCAGACGTCCTTTTCTACTGAAAATTTCCCACCTTTCAAAGACCCATTTTCTTTTTACTGTATTCAAAAAAACAAAATCCTTTATTTTATCTTTCTTTGTTTATTATTTCTTCTCTGTAACTGTGTCAGAGAGACTGATTTTTAGCTCAGAGAAGATAAAGAGAGAGCTCGACGCAGCCGAGCTCCGATACTCGCGGTGAAAAACCAGGTTTGGTAAACCTCATCATCTTACTATTACACTTTCATTTCTGGCTAATTACACTGTTGCCCCTGTTTCTGTTTCTCTTCAACACTTTTGACTGTTGTAGACGGAAAAAGATGTCTATAGGACCAAGCACGAGACCTAAGTAATTTGTCCTACTTAGGTCTAACACCGCTGGATTAGAATCTTTATGCACATAATTGTTAACTAGCTAACTGCTTCAACCCTGTTGCAGACGAAAATGAGTGTGCAACTCGAATGGGTCCACTTAGGATCTCCTGTTAAGCGAGCCGTCGGATTGGAATTTTTATGTAAGTGATGAAGGGACCTCGGGCAGTTCTGCCAACCAGCAAATCAAACCGTACAAAAAGTATATAAAACATTTTATACCAACAAAATGAAATAAAAAAATAATAATATTTTGACTAAGTGGATGCATTGGGCGGGTGACTACGTGCTTGTTTGTACGGTAGTGGGTAAGTTTTGTCTTTTTCTCCATTTTTTTGTCTTTTAACCGGAAACTTTAAGTGGGCGCAAGATAAACGTTGGCAGTTGAAGCGATGGATCGGTCGTTTATTGGACGACTAGGATGAGTCAACTGCCGTGTCTACACTTCTAGAATTTGATCAACAACGTCCAAATAGTGGACCATTGGCCATATAGAAGACACCGTGGATAGGTTGGAATGGGTCCTTTTTTTGGGGGTGGGGAATTTCGTCTCTCACAATTCTTGAAGTTAGTCTAGAAAATATTTAAGACTTTAGGCTGTGTTTGGTTTGAAAGAAAAAAGTAGGAAAAGATAGAGAGGTCTGTACAAGGTTTGTATGGGTTTTCCTATCTTTTCATTCCTTTCTCTACCTTTTCTTTCAAACCAAACAGTATAACATGGCCACAATAACTAAAAGCGGCAATAATAGATATTAAAAACAGATTTACTAGACAATATAATAATAAAACCATGCTTGTGTAGCAAAAAGGTTAGTGTTAAATAGTATATGTTCTTAGTTCTAATTACATTGATGTACTTATTGTCATTTATTGTAAATGAATAAAGTGTATAATTGATTCATCTTATTATGGTGTGTTTCTCTGTAATATCCTTAAACTGGACACTTATGAGACTCGTGTTAATTTAGAATCTTCATAGTCGTTTGATAAATCTATGGAGATTTACCCTGCCAAGGCTAACACTGATGTGTTGTCAAGTTGGTTGGGATGGATTGTCTTAATTGCTAGGGTGAGACTTTATATACATGTAGTGTGGTTTTTCTTGAAACCTTGAACTGGACTAAATTCCAATATTGCCTTGGACCTTGGAGATAAATTGACAAAACTTGAATGTTACACCTGACCCCTATACTCGATTACGATATTGCACTAGGTGTCGGATTGGATTGTCTTTGATATGACAATCCGTGAGATCCTTAGAAGGGTCAAAACTTGGGTATGTTGGGATAGTCTGAGAATTCACATGAGTGGGTGATCATAGTGATAGGATCAGCTCCTTTGTCGGACAAAGTGAATGATCGGGGAATGCACTATCTCTTATAGAAACCTAAATTACCGGCAATAGATTTCAAATGTGCTTGAAATTTGTTTTGCAAATTTAAAGTATATAATATATATATATATATATATATATATATATATTTCAAATTGTTTGCAAAATGTTTTAATTCCTATAATTCATGTGAGTAGAGAGTGCAGCATTGTACCTTGCAACCGAAGGAGATGTCCTCTCTTGTCAGGTAATGTATGATCATTAAGGGCTGAGAAGTTAAGTGTAAGACCATTTAGGGATAATAAACCTGATAGGCTAATCTCACATAAGTCCATAGTCCCTGAACCTTCATAAGGTGGTTGGACTCAATGACCATATAGTGTAGATGTTGGCTCCACTGAGAGCCCATATTGATGGGTTCAAGGGTTTATTCGACCAGGCCTTGTAACAGAGGCTGGGTTGAACCCATATGGCTTTTGTGGAGATCAATGATAGGGTCTCACACCATACAAAGAGAACCAAATTAGCCAACAGTTAAAATAAGTGAGCCTAAAAGCTTAATGGGCCTTAAAAGCCCACATCGAATTGGGTATTTAATTACATTAAATAAGAAGGTGGCGAATTGAATTTATAATCAGAGTAGAACTAGCTAAATCTTATCCATTTAAGAGTTATGATTCAAATACAAATTTAAATCAAATGAATTCTTTCATAATTAGATTATGAAGTTGATCCAAAAGAAGATTATAAATAGGAAGACGAATTCTCTTCAAAACACAGCATTCTTTTTTTGCTTTTACTCCCTCTGTTTTTGCCGCTACTTACCCTATTCGATCTCCATATTGGACTGATCAGGATTTGATTTTAATATTATTTTTTGTTATAAATAAATAATCTTGAAATTGTGCTTACATCCTTGGCGTGATTCTTGCTGAAGAATTATGGTTTCTGTTGAAAAACCTCCCTACTGATCCTACCTCATCCTAAGCTGTGTCATCTTCAGCGGATGATAGATTTGGCACTCTCTTTGGGCGTGAACACCTACATTGGGAGGAGTATTTATGTGGATTCCTTATCAGGTATCTCTTTCCCTAATATTTGCTTCAGATCTGGTCCAGTTTGTTTCAAGAACGATCATTGAAAAATGCAACTTTTTTAAAACTGGGAATAGGATTCCCGGAAGAAAGAAATAAATTTTTGAAATTTCGCTCAGCCTTTTTGCATGGTTCGACCATCCATATGATGGATCTCCCTTCCCTTCAGTTAAACCCTAAAGTTTTGATAAGCCAACTTTAGATGTTAAAAAGTATATTAGTTAAAAAATAAATTTTATTAACCTTGAAGTTTATCAAATTAGTYTTTAAATTCATAATAATTAATTTAATAGTAATAATTAACAATAATTAAGGGTAAATTATTACTTCAACACTAACTTAATTAGCTTAACTAATAGTAAACTAATAATCACTTAATTTACTTAACTAATTTAGTTAATGTAGTAACTCAATTTACTTAATTAACATTAACTTAATTTTCTTATTAACTTAATTAGCTTTGATTAATTATTACTCTATTTACTTAGCTTAATTTACATAATCAACTAATTAATTCACTTAATTACATGGTTTAAAAATCGTCATTGATCTTAGCAAACAAATTGTTCAACCTAAGAACTTGTCAATTGTCTAATTCCATTTTATACTTGGCTTGGAAATTTCCAATAAGCATTGACTTGGCTAACAAACCATTGACCTAAACAATTAAATCACTAAACTCCTAGTGAATGGTTTTTTAGGTTTTTTTAATTATTTTTTATTTTTATTTTTTCAAAATGTCATGAGTAGATTCATCTTGACCAAACAATCAAACCATTGACCCAAAAAGTGATTAAATTGATTTTGGTTTTGGGTTAGTTTTTAAAACCTTGATTAATTGGCTTAATTTACTTATTTAGATCCATTAGCTTCGTTTATCTAATTTACTTAACTAACTTAGTTTCTTTAATTAATTTAATTTACTTGTTCAACTACTTAATTTACATGGCTGGATTAAGTAAGATCATTGATTATTGGGTCAATAGTTCGATCGTCCAATCCATAGCCTATGACGTTTTAAAAATAAAAATAAAAAATCAAAAGGAGCCTTGAAAAGCATTTACCAAGAGTTTATTAGTTCAACTGTCGGGTTAGAGGTTCAATCGTCCAATCCAAAAGGATTAGTCATGGCATGTTAAAAATAAAAAAAATTTTAAAAAAATTAAAAAAACCCTCAAAACCATTCACCAAGAGTTTAGTGGTTCAATCAATGATTAGCTAACCAAATCAACTTTTTTTTGGGGAAATTCTAAACCAATTATAAAATGGAATCAAACAGTTAAATAGTTATTGGGTTGAACAATTTGACCACCCAAGTCAACAACAATTTTAAAATCATGTAATTAAGTGAATTAACTAATTGATTAAGTAAATTAATTAAGTTAAGCTAAGTAATTAGATTAATTAAATAATCAAAGCTAATCAAGGTAAATAAATAAATTAAGTTATTGTTAATTAAGTAAATAAGTAATGAAATAAATTAATGTAACTAAGCAAATTAAATGAATAATTTAATTAAGTAAATTAAGTGATTGTTAGTTTAGTATTAATTAAGTTCGATAAGAAGAATATTTACAATCTCATAGATTTAGAGAAATAAATATTTACAAATTCTCTTATTAAATAAGAAGAATATTTATAGAATTCATTGTGATTTTTTATCAAACATGTTTTTACCTAGTCTCCTAGAGGGATCATACATTAATTCATTACACACATCAAGTGCCCATTTAACATCTAATATTCTAGTTCAAACTTTCATAACCAGTTGTCTCTGCCATATTTTCCATTGCCAAAAAACTAACATGTCTTTTACTACGAAGATCTGGGAATGAGAAAGCATGGGAATCCACTTAATGCATTGTAAAATGTGTCGCTCTTCAGCCAGTTCAATTTTGCAAGCTATGTGAATGAATGTTTGTATTTTTTTCTTATACGTCTCTCATATAGATTGTGCAATAGGCTCCTATTCACCAGGTAAAGATTTCAAAAGTATTATGATTCTCTTTTCAGTGGAAAGTATTATGTTGTTACAACTTAATTGTTGGCACATATCACTAACAACTGCTATGTGCTCCATCATGTTGTGTTCTGATTTTATCTTATAGCTTTCAATTTCTTTGAGGATATAGGAATGAGCCAAAATACTTTATTCTAACTTAAAATATAATGATACCATTAAAAACAATGTTTAAAATAATAGAAAACTTTTTCAAAATTTACCCAAATGGCTATTTATGAAAACTAATAAAAAGTGTAGCATTCTAACCTCACTATTGGAATTTTTTCTACGACTGACGATATTATTGAAAATTTTCAGTAATTTTTCATATTAGAATTAATTACAACTAAAATTAATTATTGTCTGAAATGGT